TATCCACAGATAGACCAAATGATGTCGTGGTCTTCTTCGAACTTCGAAGGACGAACAACAGCAGGATGTATGCCAAATTATTTGAAATGACTAGATAAAAAGAACAAGAAATTCAGGAATCATCCTGTAAGGACTATACAAGACACAATATTAGCTCCCTTTACAACTGGTTGAAAGGAGGAATACTGTAATTGATGAAGCAGAGTCTGCAAGTGTTGGTCTGGTTTTCCTTAACGAAACAAAGGATCTTATAATACCTTTTGAGTCAAAAATGTAAAGATATCATTTCATGGAGCAGTTGAGGATGACAGTTCTTGTGGCTATCTGTAAATGCTGTCAATATTACAATGTGTATGCTAAAAACAGTAAATGAAAACAGATCAGTAGATGAAATATTGAGAGCTGGAATCAAAGTTTTACCAACAACCAAAGACAGACTAATTGTATTCCACACAAGAAAAATCCATCAATTTTTCAAGGAGAAAATATGTATATTTTTTTACAATATGTAAAAAAATTGCTAAGACTTTATAAACAAGATTTTGCCACTGGATGGTACAGTTACAGCATATAATGATACAGAATAGAGAATCCATCTTGTTTACCTGGATGACAATTGCATATTGATAGACCTCTGACACCTAAACGTAAGGTGTCTCAGCAAAATGTTTCGTGTAGCAGAGGAGTCATGGAGATGTACACTTATCAAGTGAACATTAATTAAAGATATGAATGAAATAAAAAACAAGAAAAGCTTTCACATCAAATACTAGTTCCATTGAACATATGTAGACATTACTGCTACTAAGTTTGCTTTCCTCATTGCTATTTTAATTTCAAGTCGTTATAAGGTTCCTACTGTTGTAAGAACATCCTGCCATTCCAATCAAAACCCTCAATCCTATTAGATTGGCAAGCTTTAAATTAAATTATATAAACAAATAGCTTTTGGCTATTAAAAAAAAGGTGTTATAACCAATGGAATTGTGCAAAAACAATAATATCAATAGTAGCAAACAAAATGTTGATTATATGCTGTTTGAGAAACATGGTTGGCAAAAGTGCTTAATTTGGAAGATTTGAACTATCAAACATCTTGCCTTGAATACATTATGATATCATTTTAAGACACTTGCATGTTCCTTCTTCAGGCTGATGATGAAAGATATGGACAGCCCCTTTGATATAAACAGAAATAAACAACATTTAAGTTAATGTAATGGAAAAAAATAAAAATAATCAGGAAGCAAAATTCTGTTCTAACAGTATCACAAAAGAGCTTACAACACTGACCTTAGTAAAGATAAAGTGTCCTGTAATGTTGTCATAATATAATATTAAAAGCAAGATGTTTGACAGTAAAAACATTTTTGATGATATGCTCTTGTTACAGGTAACCCACAAAGTGGCATACTTATAGGTTAGCTAACTGGTGCAGCTGTCTCAGGGGCCACCTGAACCTATTAACAAAATTTTAATTTGCGAGATATATCAAATTGATACTTTTGTTCCCATTTGATGATATTCAGTTGTAATTTGTACAAACTTGCTTGTAATACTAACAAAATTAACACATTTGTGATCCAGAGGCATGCCTGATAAGTAGTATCAACTGGTGAAAGACCAACCCGTGAACAAGTGAAGCAATCTACGAGTCCACAACTAGAGGCTACCCCCTAACCCATACTCTACTATAATATTACATGAAACAATCAAAAACACGGTTTTAAGTTACTTATGTTATAATTTACTATATTATTTTACTTACATTATATAGGCAAGGTTGTACTGTGGGAATATTCTTGCAACAGTCTTTATAGGCTTACATAATAAAATGGACCATCATAAGTCAGTTAAGAGGAAAATATTTAAAATATTTTCTGTCGTATCTTTAATTATTAATTACAATCATTTTTCTATGTCAAACTCCAACCTTAAAGGTCAATTAAACTACAAGATTTCTTGGGTTTCTTTTAAACTGTATGTATTTTAGAAATGTCACTAAAAGAAACTGTAAATCAGATTTATCCTCACACTCAAATGCTGTTGGTAAATGAATATTTCATCTATCTGAAATTTTATTAATATTGTTTTCAAGCAATTTTATTTAAGAATGTAATTATAATAAAGTTATAAACCATTTCTGATGCATTAAAGTTCAAAAGAGTTTTAACTTATTTGCCCTTAAAAGCAGTAAATTAGAGTTAATAAAATTACTTAGAGCTGCAACTTTCAAAAATTGCTAGACTTTTTCTTTAGTTCTCCATATATACAAAATGTTTAAAATATATTTACATTTTCAGTTTGATTAAATTCAACCTTTATCCATGCTTTGACATCTTTTCCACAACTAAATCTTTTTATAGTTTAATCTCTCTTCAATTTTAAAACCTTTTACTTTTTACACCTCTAAGTTTATTTATAAAAATGTAAGTGAAATATGTAAAAAAAAATTGGAGAAAATTTTAATGATTTCAAAAAATCTTTATATAATTAGTTTTGTTCTTACATCAAAAAAGCCCCCCTTTGTTTTCACAGTGAGATAGAGTCGATACAAGTCCAGAGGTTGTTTGCTAATTGTGGGACACTGGGAAAGTGGAGTTCCTCGTTCCTCATTGAACATAATTAGTTTATCAAGAAAGGCATGCCGCTCAGGCTCATCTGATATATCATAGAGTTTTAGTAGACCATCAGGCCTCTGAAAATTAAATAAAACCAACCATCAAAAACGTATTAAAAGCAAACTATATTAAACTACATAAAAAATTTTAGTATATATCAAAAAACTTTCAGAAAGGGGAGGTATCTTTATTAGTATCAACCAACATAATCTCAAGTGTTTGTGCATTTTTCTTTTATTATTGTCAACAAACATTCAGTTCTAAACATTACATTTATATTTAAAATTATTGGTTAAAAATAATTAATTACATATGTCCCAATCTAAATAAACATTTAGAAAGTAAATCATCAAAATGTATGTGTAAATTAAGATTTTTTTACTGGTCACAATTAAATTTATTTTCTAAAAATAGATTGATTTTGTGCTTTATGTAAAACAATAATATAATAAGTGTGTGTGTGTGTATATATATATATATATATATATATGTAAAATATCCACCATTATTCATTTCTACAATTAGAAACAAGTATAATTACTATATATCTCTTATTGTTAGACAAATTTTCAAAGCAGTGCTTGAATATAAATTTTCACATTCATACAATGAACTGCATTTCATAGAGCTGAATAATCTTCGTACCTGTTAGACAAATACAAATGA